GTACATGGGAGACTGTCTTTAAGGCATTGGTCTGGATGAAATCTCCCATTTGGAGCGGAAATTTTAATCAAAATCTTGAAATTGAAAAATGTTTGGTGACACCTGGGATTCTGGAGCTAAAATCTTGCATTTGGAATGGAAATTCTAACCAGTCTTGATATTTAAAAATGTTTGGTGGAACTTGGGATTCTGGGACTAAAATTTTGCATTTGGAATGGAAATTCTAACCAATTCTTGAAATTTAAAATGTTTGGGGGCACCTCGGATTCCAGAGCTAAAATCTTGCATTTGGAATGGAAATTCTAATCAAATTCTAACCAAAATCTTGACATTGAAAAATGTTTTCTGGCACCTGGGGTAGTGGCATCAGTCTGGAGCCAAAATCTCACATTTGGAATGGAAATTCTAACCAAAATATTGAAATTTAAAAATGTTTGGTGGCACCTGGGATTCTTGAGCTAAAATCTCACGTTTGGAATGGAAATTATAACCAAATATTGAAATTTAAAATGTTTGGTGGCACCTGGGATAGTGACATCAATCTGGAGCTAAAATCTCGCATTTGGAATGGAAATTCTAACCCCAAATACTGAAATTTTAAAAATTTTGATGGCACCTGGGATAGTGGCATCAGTCTGGAGCTAAAATCTCACATTTGTAATGGAAATTATAACCAAAATCTTGAATTTGGAAATTCCAACCAAATATTGAAATTTTAAAATGTTTGGGGGCAGCTGGGATTCCCGAGCTAAAATCTCGCATTTGGAATGGAAATTATAACCAAAATCTTGAATTTGGAAATTCCAACCAAAATCTTGAAATTGAAAAGTGTTTGGTGGCACCTGGGATAGTGGCATCAGTCTGGAGCTAAAATCTCACATTTGGAATGGAAATTATTATGAAAAACTTGACATATGTTTGGTGGCACCTGGGATTCTGGAGCTAAAATCTCATTTTGAATGGAAATTCTAACCAAATATTGAAATTTTAAAAATTTTGGTGGCACCTAGGATAGTGGCATCAATCTGGAGCTAAAATCTCACATTTGGAATAGAAATTCTAACCAAATACTGAAATTTTAAAAATTTTGATGGCACGTGGGACAGTGGCATCAGTCTGGAGATAAAATCTCATATTTGGAATGGAAATGATAACCAAAATATTGAAATTGAAAATTCCAACCAAAATCTTGAAATTGAAAAGTGTTTGGTGGCACCTGGGGTAGTGGCATCAGTCTGGAGCTAAAATCTCTGGAAATTGTAACCAAATATTGAAATTTTAAAAATGTTTGGTGGCATCTGGGATTCCAGAGCTAAAATCTCGCATTTGGAAAGGAAATTCTAACCAAATATTGAAATTTAAAATATTTGGTGGCATCTGGGACAGTGAGAGGGGTCCCTGCTGTGGTGGGGGTTGGAATGGGATGAGCTTTGAGGTCCCTTCCAACCCAAACCTTTCTGGGGTTCCAGGATCAAAAATCTGATTAAAAATGGGGACAGATTTACTGGTGATAATAAACCACTGGAGAAACCATAGTCTAATGTGCAACAGGATTATAAATTGCAATAAAAAGATTTTAAAGATAAAAATCAACACCTTCCCTCTTTCTGTCCTTAAACAGACTCCAGTTTCACCAGTTTGTTCTCAGCATAAAGTGTTAAATTATTTAGGTTTTACAATTAAATTAATTTTTTTTTAACCTTACTACATCATTATCCTTTCTTTCCATATAGGGCCCTGTTTTTAATGTCAAAAAGTAATTTTCAACCACCAAAGCTAAAGGAAAAAGCAAAATGGTAGGTGAAACTCTTTCCTTTGTTCCATATTTTGTTGGAATTGAGTTGTGCTTAAAGTCCCTTCCAACCCAAACCATTCCTAATTTTCTATGATTTTATAGATAAAGATAAAAAATATTTGTTATTATTGGAGAAGAACCATTTTTGGTGCTGTTTGTATTTTCTAGGAAGAAAAACCTTTACCCTTTTCCCTTAATTCCTCTCGTGGGGCATTCACAGGGAATGGTTTTATCCTTTTCTGCTTTCTTTACCCTTTAAAAAAATTCCTTTTGGAATTTTTTTGAGATTCCTTGGTTTATTTTCTATACCAAAATGTTTTCCGTGCAAATTCCATGGATCAAACGGGGTTTTTTTCCTGTTTTGTTAACTTGAAAATGTAATTTTTCAAAGGAGGTGAGGGTTTATCCCACCCTTTTGTAATCTATTGAACAACTGCCTTAAAATCAATAATGCCTTAAAAAATTAAACATAATTAATGTTTAATTTTCTTTCAGGTCAGCAACATTCCATAATTTTGTCAAAATAGCACTTACAAAAAACCCAAAGAAGAGACCAACAGCAGACAGACTTCTCTCTGTAAGTAATTTGGGACATTTGATGATTTCAGGAAGGGATTTTTTGCTTCAAAATGAGCAAGAAATCGATAGAAAACCAAAGGAGAACAATTCCTTTAAACTTAACAACACAAGGGGTGAAATCTGAAGGACAGAGATGTTGAACAGCTGTTAGCAAGTGGATTTTGTTCAGTATTTTTGCATCATTTATACAATTTTTGGTGGAATAATGAGAGAAATTGGCTTCATGCTCTCAACCTTGGCCTTCCTGCACGTGATGCATCTTGAATTACTGATGTAAAAAATAAAATTTGAGTGAAATTATTTGTTTGACTCA